ATCTACCGGTCAAAATCCAAAAACCTCAAAAAATAGATGATAAGTGGTCTAAATAATATTCTTCCACCCAATAGCCACAAATCACAAGGTTGTAGATGTAGAAATAAGAATGACAAATGAATGACCTGGAGAAGATTACCAAGAGTTGGAAGAATATGACGCCACGAGTGATTCAGTCAGTAATAGACTTGAATCTTGCCAGGGCTTGCATGGAATATAGAAAGCAAATTGGAACTTCTCAAGGAATATAGATAAAATATAAGCAAGGCTTACATGTTTAGTCTCTCAAAAATTGCCCGACGAACAGAAGAATTGAGGCCATATGCTATTGAGTTGAAGAGGCCCTGCAACAAGTGGAGGGAGTGCCAAAAATTAGCAATACATTGTACCTCATGACACAGAACCTGGTGTTCAATCTTCATATGATGTAAAAATCAGTAGTACAGGATGCCAAATGCACTGCACTAATTGGAAATGGCATTTCCGACCCAAAAAAACTTTTGGAAATGGCATAATAAAACATTTTTGTGTATTTCAATGGCAAATACTTCCTTTGTGCAAAATTATTCTGAAAAATGATTCAGTATGCCGGTTCAGCTAGGGAAGTTCTACAATATTGACCACATTCCATGCTAAACAGGTTATAGAGCAATAATGTAATAATGTGAATATAGCTGAAAACAGCAAGTACAATGATTTTAACATACCATGAGGGCAGCCGTTCCAACATCTAGAAATGAAAGCCAAAAGATCTTATGGTCAGGTTCAATAAAGTCATGAATGCGGTTGATAGTGCCAAATGCAAAGGATCCTATCAGAATCAGAGGATAGTATCCCCAGCGACTCACAGCCTGCAAAGTAAAACAGGGATGCTATAATTTCTTTATAGAGGAGGAATGCAGATGAGACAATAATTATAGTTTCCGTTTAAGCAATTCGTTTGAGCACAAAAAATAACATGGGAGATTGATAAATATGCCACATGACAAGAAGGGAACATATAGAAAACGAATAGCCAAACAATGAGAATTCTAAGATTAGAAATGTTAACAGCAGCTAGTAACTGCTAAAAGCTTATCCTATGTTCACTTATTGTCGTTTCCCCTCCTTTTAGTTAGGAGTGGGAAGGAAAGAAGAGTTCCTCATCCACATGCATGGATTTTATATTTCCGATATTGCACAAGTAGCCAGAGTATAAAATACCTTCATGTTATCTCTCGTGTCTGAGACATAATTTCGGTCTGAAATACCAACTGCCATCTGAAATTCGCAAGAGAATGGTAAGGTAAAGGTTCCTGAATCAATTAAGCATGGAAAAAAAAAAATCTGCAAATTTGAGCACATACACGGGTTGCATTGTTCAGCATGCGTATTACTTGAAAATATGTAAACCCATTGTAAAGAATTGCACCCCAAAGTGGCATATAAAATGTGATAAAATGAACCGCCTGCACAGGAAAAGAACTTTATTTCAGAAGATGAAGAGAAAGGGAGCTATTTTTATGCTACTTCACAAACAAGGTATCATACTCAAATTCAGTGCAGCACAAAAGTTGCAGAAGATTGAGGCTTCTCTTGTCGTTCTGCCTTTTCCCTCTTGAACCGTATAATATTTACAAAAATGAATTTAAAAAAATTGATGTAAAAAACAACAACATAGTATTTATTATCATCAACTTCATTTAGATAAAGTCATCATGGCAACTCAGTGTTTCTTATCACCAACTTCGTTTAGATAATGTCATTATAAAGAGCATATAGGCCAATCATAAAAGTAGAGATAGAGTGCCACACTGAATTTTCAGCAGAGACTTAAACATTTGCATGGATTTTTTTTCCCAGTCAATTTTAGCTGCATGACATGCTGATAATTAGGAGTTTGGCAACCATGCCTTCATTTCAACATTCAGCACAATTTGTGTTCATAGCATGAAGCATTACATTCAAAAGCAAATGGAAGTATGGAGCCTTAAAAAAATAACATGAAATTGAGATATGAAATAAAGGACTCGTCGTGTTCTTTAAAATGAAAGGCTAAACTATATTTTTGAGAAGTTAAAATACTTGAAAATAGAGCCAATCTAACTCTTAGTAAATAATACTTGCCTTCCCAGTGCGACCCATTTGACTTGAACACCATGTGCCGAAATGTCTATGGTCATTACCAAAGGAGCGAATGACTGTCATTACTAGGGAGGTACCTATAAATAGTAAAAATTTCATCAAATGAGCTCCCTGCAATTAAAGACTTAAAATAATTACAATAATGAGCAGAAACTGGAAACAAAAGTGGAACTAGGAAATCAAATGTATAAAATCATATAGTCAAAATGCACAATAAATTGCTACTAAATTTTAATTTCCAGATAACAGGGTGTTGAAGAGATACTGGATGAGGAGATTATGGCAAAGTTGCCCATTCCCCAAAGTTGACAAATGAAAATTTGATCATCCACAAATACATACCCCAAACATATAGATGAAACATGGCCTCCAAATCTTCAACATCTGTTTTGTGCCTGACAACAGTGCGATGAAGGGTAAAAGCAATTGTTGTAGTCCATAGGAAAGATGCCACACAAAAGAAATGTGTGCTATAACTCTGAGCATAACAAAAGAAACCTTTGGATGGGTCCCTAAATCAAAATGAAACTTCCATCAATGAAGTAAGGAACAACTTAACATACATATGAAGAAGACTGCACTTGATTCAGCAGGCATACCCTACTATGTTGAAGAAACTGCAAAGCATGTCCTGCAGTCAAAGAAAATGTCACATTGGAGCACTTTACAAAAGGTTGAGTACTGAAAAAGAAAATGCGGCAAAACTAACAGACAGCCACAGGGCACAGGCATGACTGGTTTCCTGAAGTTCAAAGGGAAATAATCTGAATCACACAATAGCATTAGTAGCGCTGCAAATTAAAGAGACTAGGGGTAACAGGACAGATTGCTGAAGTTAGCTGCTCAACTCAAAGTATACTTATAATGCAATTAGACTTTTCAATAAAAGGCCGTTTTACACTTAAAAACCCAGGAGTCAAGCCAACAACAAGCAGGTTTATAGTTTGCTTTGCCTGTAGAAGTTTATTGTAAATTTGTAATTACCAGGTCACGTATCAAATCAAATATTAAACATTTTTAACAACAGTTTAATATTTAGACTCCTAATTCCAGTCCTAATCACAATTAGGTAAATCACATTCCCCCGTGGTTTGGCCGATATCAAATTGTTCCCATGTGGTCTAAAGTGCCTCATTCAACTCCTTTATGCTTTGTTTCATTACTGATTAAGCACCTTGAGTATTTTTTTGTTTCTAATTACAACCGAAATAATCACGTGAAAGTTAAACTAATAAGCTATGTCATTGTTAAATGATGTTTTACCTAAACTAACATTACACAATTAAGATCGTGCCCTTGATCCTACAAGCTCTGCAAAAATGTTCAAAATGTAGGAGAAACTTTATCATTTTAACCTTCACTTTTTTCAGAAAATTTGCAAGTAAAAGTAAGAGGTTGATTGTGGATCCAATTCAAGTTTCGACACCAAACTGATGACATATTTGAGAACTAACAATTAAAAGCCAAATGAAATCGTGCTAACAAAGAAAGATTTATATCAGGCGATAACAAGAAGAAATCAGATCTGAACATCAGCAACAAAATCCGAACGATCCAAATAAGGTGGAATGAGATGCATACAGAGAGGGCAAGGTAGAAAACAAGTTTGAAGGAAAACTTGCGGAGCTCCTTGAATAGGACGTAGCAGAGCACAATGAAGCTCGACCCGACGAAGGAAAGGCTGGACGCTCCGGTGTTCACGGCCGACAAAATCCGGCGATCATTCGCTGTAAGTGCGCCGGCAACAGACACTAAGGTCGCCATTAGCCCAAGTACCAATCCGTGTTGACCCTCGAGGCTCTATTTCTGCTTCTTTCGTCTTTCTCTGGTTTTCAGTCGCGCGCGTAAACTGAATCAGAGTCAGTTGGCTCCCAATAAAAAAAAAAGTCGAACCGGATTCTTAGTTCAAGTTCGCTTTTCGTCCCCCATATGAAAGTGATTAAAATTACACAAAAAAGGAAAATTTAAAAAAAAAATTGAAAACAAAATACGACGTCGCATCATGTGATTGGCTTTTTTTTTTTTTTTTTTGGGCCAGGTCGTTTTGTCTGATGGGTTACGGTGCTTGCTTGTTGTGGTTGACGAGAATGTGAGCATTGCCGCGCAGGTTCGAATCGCAAAGGCCATCTGAAACTGTCGTTTCTAGTTAGTTTTCCCCCAAGGCCCAATCCTTTTAAATTAAATCAAGAAAGCATTTAAGTGAAAGAGTCCAAGAGGATAACATGATGACAAGAATGAGGGAACCAAGAGGGCGAAAAAAAAAAAAGGATTTCTAACCATCAAACAGGCGGCTAGCTCATCTTTAGTCTGGGAGTTATTAGTTATTAGCACTATCCATTTGACAAGTTCTATTAATCCTAATTACAAAAGGTTATCATCAAATCTCAAATTAAATTCCAACACTACTATGACATGGGCAGAAATAATTGACTAAATTCTGTTAGTCGCAGGTATAAGAAGCATCGTAATTTTGCACTCATCTGCTAAAACCATCTCTTTAGCAAAATTTATCACGTTCAAGTTAATTCTATCCCATGCATGTACTATCATCCTAATCAAGTCATTGTGTACTGGTCAAAAGTTCACAGTACCCGCAATCAAGCACCTAAAATGGTCAATGTTGTGAGGGAGCAAGGAACTAGATATATTATAATATTAGATGAATTGTTAATTAAAAAAAAAAGAATAAGAAATGGACGTTATCTATTTATTTTGATAAATAGAGATGAGATGAAGATGATAACATCAGGGCTGGTGGCTGCCATGGGGAAAAATCAAGCAGTAGTGGTTGGGCGGTTGCGGAATTTGCCAATATTCCCGCATCCACGCTTCACACACGACATGCAATAAAGCTCAGGCGGTAGGTATGCTTGATGGGAAGCTAAATTGTAAACTAATATACATACATATATTATATATACACCACTTTATGGATTCCGATGGTTTAGTGTTTGTCCATTTATTCGCTGAGATCAACGTGAGTTAAAGGCAATAGCTTAGGTTATTTCCAAAAAGAAAACTTTACATCTTATGACAAAATCCTTCTCACCTATTTAACTCGCATAATATAAAATAAGGTTACTTCTAAACCAAGCATTCCGACTGTAATGTTTTACTATTTTCCATCCCAAATAGAAGGTTTAATTTGTTATATTCCAACATTAACTGCGATGCTTACTTTTCCTTGAGTTGTTCTGTCATTGTCATCCCATGCGGACTCATAGTACGTCACGTCGAAAAATAGGCATGACCGGGTTTCCACTTGGAACAACTAACCAGGCTTATTTTCTACTTTCTCACACCAATAAACAATACAAGGATAACGATTTCCTTCCCTGTGGCTGCCAGGAAGGACCTTTTAATCATTATGTTAACCCCCGTCTTTCTCCTCCACCTACTGACGAAAAGTCGAAAGTTCCCTGAACACGCCTCTTCTGGACTGATACTTAAATGTACACGCTTTATGCCAAACTTTGCACTGAATAACTGTGTACACTCTCAAACCTGAGAATCTTGTTTACCCCTCCGGACAAATTGCATCTCAAAGTGGTAATATTATTTTCACCTCAAACTGCATCCTCCTTGGCGCAGCTTTCAGTTCCTAGCTAATTCTGTATACAACTAATTACTTCCAGCTTCATAATTATGAAGATCCACACATCCTTTACGGACCAAAATGAGAAAACCAAAAAAAGAATTACTATCTGGGTATACTTTCATATCACTAGTTTACGCTTCTTTTTGGCCTTCGCTTACGGCCACATACACGAACGGTCCTATGAAAACATCGTCAAAGCCCTGAAGTGTCTCCAATATGGCAACCACATCGGACATGGTGGGCCTCGGTGTTGGGTGGTGGCTCAAGCATTTGTAAGCCAAAGCAGCCACCTTGCGAGCTCCTCTCGCAGGAAATTGACCTTCCAATCTGGGATCTATGACTCGATACAGCTTTTTGGGATCCCTTAACATAGGCCTTGCCCACTCCACCAAGCTATGTTCTTTGCTGGGCCTGGTCTTATCCACCACCCGCTTCCCTGTGAGCAATTCTAACAGAACCACGCCGTAGCTATACACATCGCTCTTCGTTGTGAGGTGACCTGTCATGACATACTCAGGAGCAGCATAGCCATGTGTTCCCATTACGCGTGTTGTTACATGTGTTTCTTCGCCTTCCGGACCATCCTTTGCCAGCCCGAAATCTGACAGTTTGGCTGTGTAATCCTGTGTTTGGAAATTAAAAGTTCATTAAGTGAATTTGTATTCGCCGGGAAAATTGCAGATATATATGGTCAGAACTCAGAAGTGATAACAGAGGGGACAGAGCAGAAAACATACCGAATCCAGCAAAATGTTTGACGCTTTGAAGTCTCTGTAAATGACTGGTTTATGTACTTCGTGAAGGAAGGCCAGGCCCTTGGCTGCACCTAATGCAATTTTCATCCTGGTTGACCATGGCAAGACAGCAGAGTACCCTAAAACAACGGAATCAGGGTCAGGCATGGTTGTGATTTGAACTTAGCTTCTCTCTTCGAATCCGTAACCAGAAAGTTTTTGGTTCTTTTCTGTTCTGATTTGGGGGGAAACATCAAGGGGTAGAAAAGAACAAGTAGAAGAAAGAAAAGTAACCTACTTCTGAAGAGCTGGTTCTCCAGGCTTCCTCTTGGCATGTACTCATAAACCAAAAGCCTATGTTCCTCCTCATAACAGTACCCAATCAACTTAACAAGATGCGGATGCTGCAGCTGTCCGAGGAAGATAATCTCTGCCTAAAGAAGCAAATATTTTCCCAGTTAGTATCGAACAGTTCCGTCAATACTCATATTTCACTAGCACTTTTGAGTTATTTTATTCTGTTAAAAAAGCATGCAACCTTAATATTGGTGTGTGACTAAGGAAGAAACTAATAAATTGTAGTCAATTGGTTGAGGGAGCTAACCAGCCATTCCCTATGACCTTGCAAGCCACCTAGGTCGAGGCGTTTGACAGCTACAGGCTGAGCTTTCAATCCACGCCTAAGTTTGTCATCAAAAAATCCCTTGTGCACGGGTCCAAACCCTCCTTCACCAAGCAGATTGCTCCATGAGAAATTATGGGTTGCCTCCCTAAGCTCCTCTAGGCTGAATACGTGAAGTTTTGAACCGGCAAGAGAAATTGAGAGATCGTCAATGGCTTGAGATGAGCTGGAATTGCTTATGTCCGAGAGGCACAACCTCTGAAATGAACCTCGTTTCAAAGGTTGTTTTTCCTGCAAGGTGGGGTAATCGGTCCTGTAACAGTTTAGGACGAAGATGATAGACTTCCATGTAATCTTCTTAGTCATCTAGCTAGAACCGATATGAGCAATGCTACGATATCCGATCGACCTTGGCAATGTGTTTTTCACTAATCAGACCTTTGAAAGTGGTTTAATCAGGAGGACGGCATGGAAGCTAAGATGGAATTTTTTTTTAATAAAAATGGTGACTTTGGAATATAGAAGTGAAGGACGAGAAATATATATAATACGTGCATTCACCTACCACCCTAAGGAGAGAAGTTCTGGGAGAGATTCCTTGACTTCTTGATCTCTTGTAAATGAATGCCAACAGTTTCACTATTGTGCATGAACGATATTTCATTTAATAACATTATTTCTATTCGCTTTTATTTTTTTAAACATTAATAATCATAGGTATGAACGTATATCTTCAATTAATTAGTAGACAAGTATCTTGCCTACCTCTTGACTTCAATGTTACCCTAAACTCTCTCCCCCCACCCTCCACACAAAACAAGAACACATGTACAGTTTCCATTTTCCTCCCATGCCGTCCACTAATGGAGCTTGTTTAGTTGTTGATGTACATCCTCCGGGAAGGTCGCAGAATATTAAAGATTTGCCATGGGAATTTTTCTAAGTGCTATTATATAAACTAGCAAGTCCCATTATCATATCCTTGTTGCACACATCAAAGAGTTTGTATCTTGTGGACATCTGCCTCGTTTTAACAAAAGAAAAGTGGCATGTCGTGGGTTGATGAATGTCATGTGTTAACGATTTGATATTTCCCAGTTTTTGGTTGGTAGTGTTATCTAGAGTGTTTATGGTTAGGATGTCAATATCAGACATTGGCAACTTGACAATCAGACTCTTGTTTTAAAATTCTTAAGGTGGTAGTCAAGGATAGGTTCTAACTCATTGCAACGCATTAACGTGAGGCTAATCAGAATGGGGTTTGCCACTCGTTTTTCTTGATTTAATTAATAATTAAATATATCACGTCCATATATAATTAATAATTAAAACCATTATATTATACGCGTGTCTGCGCCAATTCGGATCAGGCACGCACATTCTAGAAGCAGACAGGTTCAAGCTGTGACTCCCAAATGGTCGTACGCTCATAGAAGCTACATATTGAACCAAACGAGGAGCAGCAATAATTAAAAAGAAAACAAAAACAAATATATATGGTGGCATTTGCCAAGAGAGTCAAAAGGAAAGGGTGAACAAATCAATCTAACCACAACCACTTCATGAAGAATCTGCGAGACACCATAGAATTAACTCGTTAGGAAAAATCAAACTCACGCAAAGGCTATTATTGTTTGACAATTACGCCTCTGCCTCGTTCTCATCAAAGCACGAACGCATCCTGTTGTATAATTAGTTTAGCACTTGAAATATATAAAAGGAGATGATAATTATTTTTGTAAGAGTTCTAATTCCATGGGTTATGTATTTTCCCAGAAAATGCTCCTCCATCACTAGCATGTAATTAACTAGCTGATAAAAAAAGAAATGAATGGTGGAAGAATATAATAAGGAGAATATAAAACTGTCAACGTGACCAAATGTAAGTTCTGCCCTGATTAATAATAAAAGTAGTAAGGGTCCAGAAGGAGGGAAGAAGAAAGAAAGAGATACTCTATAAAGAAATGAAAATGATTAATGGTTGGAGGGCGACGGAAAGTGGGGTCAGCGTGGATGAACAAGATTCAAAAACGTGGCCCAGTTTGTAAGGGTCGTTATCCAGGGCTCGAAGTTGGTGAAGGAAGATGTTGAAATGAACGGCTTAGTATAGTAAAACCTTCGGCCTGCATTATTCCCAACTTGCCCCACCCAACTACGCAAGCTAAACGTGCATGTTATGGCTCTGCATTTCTCCTTATACTCTGTATGTATACAAAGAACAGTTCTGGAATTGAACATTGAACTGAACACGAACCTTTCAATATGTTATTTATTCATCCTGAGCAAACAGTTCTGTTTCATACAATCGTAACTGGTCAGTGGTCAAGCGGTGAGGCGGAAACTAGAAAGTAAGGGCACGGCAAAGTTGATAGCACAATCTAGTATGAATTCTTTATCTGTACACTACGCTCTCTCCTATTTTTCTCGCACAATCTGTAATTCCTCTCTCAGAATTAATGACAAATTTAAAAATTCCAGTTGTGAATGGAATTGATTTAATAATAAAGAATGTAGGGGCAGCTGGTAGCTGCCGCCTCAGCCATTCCATTTGGTGCTGATTCCTGTTAGGAGATAGAGAGGGCAGGGAGGGTTTGTTAATTTGCAGATTGATCGGGCCATTCAGCGTTATCGGATTTAGATTTGATTAATTAATAATAAATATGGAGAAGTAATGACTGGGTCCCAGAATGAAGCCAGAGAAGCAGATCTTTGTTAACCTTGAGGCCGAAGAAAGATATCCAAACCCCTTGGGACAGACAGGTGTCCGTTTCTCCTAGGATAGGATATTCCCACCACGCATAATGTTGAGGATAAAGATGAATTCTAGAAGTCTTAGTTTGGAATCAGAATTTGGAGTTAGGAACTGGATATTTACGACTACCAGCGGTCCATGGCATAAAAATTACTTAGATTAAAAAAAATAATTAAATTAGTTATTTATAATAAATATGTATTGTCTTTCTTAAAATATCTTTATTAATCAAGTGTATTGGTTAGAACTATTATTATTACAAAAACTACCTTTAAAAAAATGGATAACTATAAGAGAAAAAATAGATTGGGGTCTTATATTTAAAATCAAAACAAAAGTCAAATGAGCTTTTATATTAAGGACTGAAGGAAGTACTGCCTATTGTGTTTAACATAAGAGCTAGTTTGACATTTAATTTGATCATGAATATAAAAATGCCAATCTAATATCTCTCATATTTATCTATTTTTTTAAGATGCTTCTTGTAATAGTTACATATGTTAAAGATTTTATTACATAGTGACTCTATCTAATAAACATTATCACTAAAAATATTTTAGAAAAGACAACATGATTAGTAAGATTATTTTAGATAAAAAGATACCTATTTATTATAAATAATTAATTTAACTAATTTTTTAATTAATTCAAATTAATTAATTAGTTTTTATATTAAATATGCAAAAGTTTTGGAACGTTTGGTGTAATGTAAGGGAGAGTGTGTCATACGCAAACTCCACGGCCACAGATTCTCCTTTCCTCCACACATTATCCACGAGGAAGCTTTTCTGATTTCTGCCGTCTTGTCTGTCTCGTACTATGCTCCCAGTGTTTTCCTTCTCCCAAACTCAAAGCCGCCGCGCCTGTTCCTTTCTCTGCCTCGTTCATGCACACGGATTGTCGGATTCGGTGCCACGTTATAAACGACATTTTACTTAACCATCCACGCCAATTATTTAAACCTTTTTAATTTTACATAATAAATTCATTTGAAAAAGATAAACGCTCTTAAAATTATTTTATCTTAGATTTTGACACTGATGAAGATATTGTTAGAAATAGAAAACTAAAATATCATTCAACTTGAACCGTTTTTGAGCAGTCCATGCTGATCATTAGTCGGCACATATCATGAGTAGAGTCTCTACGGTATTTACTTCGAAGTCTCGCGAGTTCTGCATCCAGATTTCTTCTTTTATTTTTTGTTTTTGGTTGTCCATAAGATTTCAAATTCAAATACTGACAGCATTCCTACTAATCCACTTTCTTCCTTATTTGGGATTTAAAACTACTCCCACACGCACGCCAATCGTATCTAACTGGTTAAGTTTCTTTTTGCTAACGTCAGACGAGTCTTTTTCACTTTTGATGACAACAATTTCACGATGATTATGTAACTACTCCCGTGCTCGTTTGGAACTATTAAAAGTTGGACACGTGGGAAACAAAAGGAAAAGCAGCCAAGAATGAGAGGCCGAATTGAATGACCAGTGCGTGATGTGGCTCTACAGGTAAGCCATGGTTGTTGGGGGTAGTGCGATCAAATGTTAAAGGAAGAACAGGACTTTGATCGAGGAAGCCCAAGTTTAAAGATAAAAGTCCAACATTTTAAACGAGGCATTGGAAACCCGAATGACGACGGTGGGAATATAAATAAAGCCCTGCGTTGTTTGAGAGCCCAACAAGAACACGAAGAGTTAAGCCCATCTATTTTTTTGTAAAAAACATGTTTTTTAATGAGTCCAGCAAGGATTCGAGGGTACTAATTATATAGTCCAGGATTAAGATGCAATTTATCTCCGAAACTTTCACTCACGAGCGTTTTGGGTGCTCAGAAATTTTTATAAGTACAAGTTTGTTTTTAAAATCTTAAAATCGTAACAATATTACTCATTATTATTAAAAAAATCTTCACACTCCCCTGACGTTAAAAAATTAACGTTAGCCGTTAAAATTTTAACGTTGACTGATGATATTTTTTAATAATAGTGAGCAATGTTACTATGATTGTAAATTTTTGAGGTAAATTTACACAAGAAATTTTTTTTCGATGTCTAACATTTCTAAGTAAATACTTTCAGAATAAAATTATACATTAACCCGATCATTCATGATGCAAGTCTCATGTGAATCCAAATCGAAAAACTCAATTAAAATATGTACTATTTGACAGGTATATATGCGACTTGGAGGAAGATAATCAATGATGCTCGAGAACCTCCAAGAACCATTAATTAGGATTGCATTTCGTTATTCAAGAAGTTTCCCTTTAACCAAGACTTTTTTGGTCAAGATTTTTCTAGAAAAATCATGTTTTTATCAGCTTAATATTTTTAGCCAGTGCGCTTGTTCTTGAAGATATAAGTGATTATCCCCTTATGAAATAAAGCTGCAATTGAAGTTAAATTTTGAAGTTAAAATCTTAGTTACAAGTCACAAACGTAAATGATTCTACAGCGAATTGCCTACAATATGTTACATAGTAAAATGTGTAATGATTATATTAAAAAAAATCCAAAACTTATAGGACTGAGGTTTTAAAAAAAAACTAATAATTCATAACGCGTCAAACTATGATTTAAATCGTTCTTAGAAGAATTGCTTGTATTTAGTAACTGTGTGTCAAATACTCATACCTAATCCCAGTAACAAATAAATAAAAATAAAAGAACCCAAAACCCGCCATTGGATGGAGCAGCAGGGCCCAGTTTTGTCCTAAGAGAATAAAGATAGCCGTCATCAAATGGTTTGGTATCGGGCGGAATCAACAACAGAAGGGGGTTTGGTAATGAAGGGCCGGGCTTTCGGGGAGTGGGTCACCCTCACAAGAAAACCTCACCCACCCGGGCATCGACTTCCACGCTCCACCGTCGCCATTAATCGCTCATGCATCTTTCATTTAATTTCTATTAAACCCCCCCTTTCCAAACTCCCAACAACATTATTCCCTTTTCGTAATTTGTGTCTCCCTTCCCTTCTAACTCCCGCCTTTTTTCCTTTTCGTTTTGCGCCCCCTCCTCTATTTCCGCGGATTTTTTTTGTTTTTGTTTTTATCCTTTCCGCGTTACTGTGTAAGGAAATTTTGATCTATTGCTTTTAATGCTTTTATTTTTTTGAGTGAAATTAATGCTTTTATTTTTAATTCTGTCCCCATGAATCGTAATAAAAATGAAGAGAGAGGGAACTGATAAGGTAAAATATACTACTACTTCCAATTATAATTATAACGCATTGTTTATATAAATAAAACCTCGTTTATACAAATAAAATCTTGTAATTAGAATTAAAGGTAAAATTATTTAATTTTTTTAATAAGAGCAAAAGTATAAAATTTTATTTATTTAATACTCATCTTTGTATGTAAAAAAACTTCTATAAATACCAAATAATATAGAATAGAGTGATATACATGACACATCCGGTCTTACTTTAAACTTTAACCTCCTAACTCATTCTATTACCAAAAAATAAACAACACCACCCTCCCTGATCAGGGACACTGATCACACCGATTTAATTTCCAGAATGTTGACAAAATTTTCACCCCTTACCCCAAGAAGGAAGTCATATTTACTTCAAATGCACTATTTCTTTTCATACATTATATTTAATCTGAATTTTCTAAGAATATTATCAAATTGTGATGTGCGTTAAAAAAAAAAAATTCAGCTGGTGCTTACCATTATTTTCCACCCAAAAAATTATTAGAGGTGGTCTTTCCCACCAATGAGTAAGTTTCGTTTCAGGTGGAATTTCTACATATTTTATGTCTGACATTCAAAACCCAACTAATTCTGGATTTTTCTAGCATCTTTGAAACCTCAATCCAATTTTTTACAAACGTGTAAAAATTCAATTCAATAATTTATTTATTCTGGAAAGAACATCCAAATAATAATAATAATTAATTTATACCTTTTTTTGCCAATCTGGCAATTAACATGAGTGCTTTTTTTCGCTTTTTCATAAATAAAAGGTTGCAAATTTAATTTCATTTTTAATCTCAACTTGTTGATATCTGACTCTCCAATTAAAAAAATTAAAAAATTGTTGCAATGAAAAGTGATCAACCATCAGCCATTACCAGAATAACACGTGTGAGTGACATCGCTGCGTTGGCGAATGACCTCATGGTGATACTTTCACCTAACGGATCGGAGGATCTTCATGCCTTCCTCCCAACAAGGCACGCCATCAAAAGGACAAAAAACACTGGCACTAACCCCCACAAGAAAGTGCCAATTCTCCTCTTCCTCCGAGACGCTCAGTATCTTCCTTCACTTCATGGCCTAATTGACCCCGAATTCAATTCCTCAATTACGTTTCTAGCTCCACTATCCGCCATCATGTTCCCATCATTCCTCAGCATCGTCTCCGTATACGGCAGCTATCTCCGCCGCTGTTTCATCACCGCCGGCCTTTCCTCTCAAAAGATCGACGTGGATGACCAGACCACCCTCCACTTCTGGGGTCCCAGAAAAGAAGCCGCCCGCAAAAAGCCCTCCCTGGTTCTAATCCACGGGTTTGGGCCGATGGCCATATGGCAATGGCGCCAACAAGTCCAATTCTTGGCCCCTCATTTCGACGTCTACGTCCCCGACCTCGTCTTCTTTGGTGACTCCACTACCAAATCCAGTGAGCGAAGCGAGGTTTTTCAGGCAGCCTCAGTGGCAAAACTTCTTGACAAGTTAGACGTCAAGAGGTTCCATGTAATTGGTACCAGTTACGGCGGCTTCGTGGCCTACCATTTGGCCAAAATGTTAGGGGAAAGGGTAGAGAAAGTGGTGATCGCGAGCTCTGGCGTTAATATGAGAAAGAGCGACAACGCGGCTTTAATGGAGAGGGCTAAACTCGACAAGATCGAGGATCTTATGTTGCCCGCTACACCCAAACAGTTACGCAATTTGATGGGCTTGTCCGTGTCCAAGCGTCTCAATATGGTGCCTTCGTTCTTCTTGAACGACATCATAAACGTTAGTTTTCCTCTCTTGTTTATTCTTTCCTCAACTTTGATTCCTCAGTGCGTTTACAATATACTCCATTGTTTTAATTTTCCCCCATTCAAACCAATTTGAGTGATCTTGCTTTAGTTATACTGGTAAACAACACATCTGAGTCATGTTCATTAATTGATGCGAACAAACCAGAGATTGGGGCCTACTGTTTAAGAGAGTTGTCTCTTAAACAAACCAGTTACAATATACTCCATTGTTTTAATTTCCCCCCATTCAAACCAATTTGAGTGATCTTGCTTTAGTTATACTGGTAAACAAGACATCTGAGTCATGTTCATTAATTGATGCAAACAAACCAGAGGTTGGGGCCTACTGTTTAAGAGTTGTCTTATCGGAAGGTCGATCGATCAATTAGTAGAATGAAACTGTTGGGACATTCTGATGTTGTGGATATGATGTATGTTATTGAGAAAACATTATGTGTTGTACGAATCGCTCGTTATGGCTTTTGATGCGAGGCGTAAATATTCGACCTGTTTAGCTGAACCATTAAAAGATCGATAGCAACCGCTTAGGTGAGGGGTAGGTATATGACTGCGTGTCAGTAGGAAGATGTGAAACTCTTGTTAATACTTTCAGGAAGAACCAGTCATGGGAGCTTAACTTTAGACTTGTGGTTGCAGAACTTATACTCAGAAAATAGGAAGGAAAAGATGGAGCTTCTGAAAGGACTAACGCTCGGCAGAGATGATGCTGTGAACCTTTCACCTCTTCAACAGGTAGGTGAACTGTATGTGTGCAGCCCAACTAGGAAACATTAATTAATAATTTATCAAGTAATTAATTAATTAATTAAGATTCCTCTCACATTACGCACCACCTTACCTTGTGACCATATGTGTAAATAGAATTATCAATCATGATATATATTCATTGGTTTGACATGCATATGCATGGATATTCAGGAGGTTCTTATAATCTGGGGGGAACATGATCAGATATTTCCAGTACAAATGGCCAATGAGCTAAAGCAGTAAGTGACTACTCCTCTTTGTGCTTAATTAGTTCTTAGCAACCTTCTTGATAACCTTGCAAAGTAATGTAACTAATTATATATATATATCCGCATAACCTTATGGAGTTGCTATTCTGATTACTATAAGGCTGAGTGCAAATTGCCCTGACAGCTCACATATACTGTGTATATACAGTTAATTAAATTTAATATCCCAGGCAATTGGTTGTTATAGGCTTCAAATGGTTGCAGGGTAATTGGTAAGAAGGCCAGGTTGGAATTGATAAAGAACGCATCTCATGTGCCCCAAATTGAGAAGGCAGGAGAGTTCAACAAAATTGTCTTGGATTTTTTGCGTGGGTCCTGATGCGTACGTGAATGTAAATTTTGTGAGTGCTGCTGCCGATTGTGATGTATATGAAGGGGACTTCCTATCAGTCGTATCCATAATGATATATAAACAGTCATGCTTCCTTTATAAGGTGGTGGTGATTTGTTTAACTGTATTCGCGCCTTCGCTTTCTTATTATGTCATTTAAATTGATTATGATTCGCCCTTCACACTGGTGCCTCGTTATTAAAGGCAGCCATCACTCATCTTCATCCATATCAATCCATTCTCCGTTATTCTTGTTAATTATATTATATTATCAATTATAGTTATCAATTAATTAATCAATCATAGGGGTGAGTGTCCTCTTCTCGGCCCCATTGCACGACCATGTATTTTGAAGGATTTTTATTTGTCTATTTATTTAGCAACGACGTATCTGGAAGGTTTGGCAAAATAAATTTAAAAAACAGAAAAACAAAAGGAGTCCAAGTTGATTGGGGCCACCACTAGCCAGGCAATGGGTATGGCTGACTGGGCACGAAGCGGTATAATTGGGCCTCAGTGTGTTCGCCCTGCCGAATCTCTTTCGACTTTCGGTCTATTCGCTATTGTCCCTTTCGCCGCGTTCAGTGTATGGGCCGAAAATACTTGCGGAGCTCTTCCTCAGTTCCTGTTCCTCTATTGATTATTTAAAGAAAAAAGAGTTTTATTTTTTCAACTTTTATGCGAGTGTAGCTAATGCATACTCCCTCATATTTTTATTATAAATTTCAAATAATTAATTTACAGTTTAATGAATAATTAGTTAAAATTAGTTTAAAATAAAAAAAAATGTTAGAAGTATAATTTTGCTTCTATATATGCCGTGAGAAAAATGATAAAAGAAAATATGTAGGGGAATGTGATGAGAGGAAAATAGTTAGGGGTAACATTGAAAAAATATAGTAAATATTAAGACAAATAAAATTAGAGCTCATAGAATAAATTGAGCCCCTTCATGAATTTAAAGCGTATAAATAAGATTGGAGGGAGTATTTACTAATCCTTAAGTACTGAATAGAATTGTTAATCTCCATTAGTATAATGAAATTCTTTTTCTTGTTAGTATACGAGAAGATTCACTGCAGTGGAGCCGTTGGTTGTTCTTATTATAGAATTGTAGTTCCGTTCGTTAAAGGAGCCGTCCGTTGTTCTTATTATAGAGTTGTATTTTTGGAAGGAATAGATAGATTGTGTGATCATCAAAAAAAAAAAAAAAACTATGGTGCGTTCTGTTGTTGTCGTTATGTATATGTATTTTTTTTTATTAGAGTAATCCTATAAAGATACTATTAGGTACGAAATGTGAGCATTTCTTCTAATAAAAATCTGGATCTTAATTCATCAGGATTAACTCATTCAATTAGATCTAACTGTTTTAACTGGTGCCGTTTCACTCATCACTTTCTGATTTATTCACCATTTTGTACAGGGGAAAATGATGCTCACATTACATCTGCCACTTGCTCTAATGGGAATTGCCCTTTTCATAAAATAAAAGGTATTTCTCCCACGTCATTTATAGTTCCGTCCAAAGCGACCATGTGTCATCTCAGGGCTGATAATTTAGTAAAATAAATTCGGAAGAAGCGGCATTATTCCACGTGTCTGGGCTAGAACGTGGTTGTTACTCTGTCGGTATTTTCTTGTTTGATTATTCGCCGCGGATTATAAAGCGCGTGTTGAAAGCTAGCTCTGATGAACACGGGTCCAAAAGCCATGCACCTGTCATCCACGCCAATGCGTATCAGACACCTGTCCATCTCATCACATTTTTTTCCTGCGAATAAAATATGAGGCCTGTTCTATTCTTCCAAGAGCCGAAGCTCGTGCACAGTGACTTTGCTGTTTCTAACAAGCAATTATGGAGTAATTGTGTGCCAATTCTATTTCCCCAGAACAATGTTTGTTATGAGCGACTTGAAAAAAGAGGGGAGTAAAATTTTAATGAGTTGAATTTAAAAAATTTAAGAAGTGAAGATAGAAAATTTTAATTAAAAAAATATAAGATAAAAGAATAAAAAACTAATTAAAATTTTTTAATAACATTTTTAAATTTTTTTAAATTGAAATCATTCAAATTTTTAATGGGGAACCCTTAGTAATTTTCTTTTTGTAGTTTCATAACTTTGCCAAAAAATAAAGGAAAAAGATGAGCTAAAAGAAGAAATAAAACTTAGGACTCGTTTGGAATAATTTATAAGTAACTTTTTAATTGTGATGTATAGAATACGAGATAAATATGTAAAAAGAAATTTTGCTTCGGCACTTATAATAAGTGCCTCAACAGGAAACCGTAAAAGTGGTGGGGAATTCGGTTTTCCTGTTATTTCCGTGAAAATTTGGGACTGCAAATGGTCAGGCCAGGTGCAAAACAAAACGTGAAAAAGGACGGCGGCAGCAAAACGTGACAATGGACGGCCACCAATGGACGCCGCCGAAGCAACCGATGTTGACCAACCGTCGTGAAAAGAAAGTTCGCATGAGATCCCTGAGGACATAAATGTCATTTCAAAATTGTCCAAGTTTGTTTTTCTGTGTCAGCCGTTGCCAGCGTGGCAATAGAAACCTCCCCATTTGCTTTTCTCTCTGCACAAAAACGCGGCTCACGAAAACTGGGAAAAAGGAAAAAGAAAAGGAAGCTTTCATTTTATATTTTTTTCTTTTTCCATTTTTGTCCAAGTAAAGAAGCTTTTGAATCCACAATGACTTGCTCCCCGCTTGTGCTCAAAGCATATTCCATTTTATTTCTTTAGCGAAAAGAACGAAACTTCACGTTCTCACACCTCGCCGAAAAATCTGATTGATTCGCCTACAATTCCTGGATCTACACGGTCTCAAAGAAGCCTGTTTTGCTTCTGTTTCAGGTTCGTTCCGTTTTCCTACCTTTTCGCGTGATTTTGCGTTCATGATCGGACAAAAGTGGAAGTGAAGGAACAGAAGCACCATTTCCTTCCAGCTTTTTTGGGCATTTGCCTTCCATTGTTTATTCGTTTGATCTCATAGAACATATATGAAATCCGCTGCGCTTTCTTGACCTTTCCATTTTTTTTTGGGTTGCGTTTCTGGGAAAAAAGTGTGCTTTCGCTCGGACTTGAAATGTAATCGGTGTTTAATTGATCAGCAAGAGGCTCGCACGGTAAACTTGGTTTGATTCCGCCTTGGAAATAATGAACTTTCCGAGGTGTCATTATTTGTTGCTTTATTGCGTGATTGTGTTGTATTTTACAAATTACTATGGCAATATATAGTTCACACTAATGAAGAATTTTATATTTGTTCACAATGATAAGATAATTGTCTTGATAAAAACCCCATTACATTACTACATTGTTCTCAGTATTTTTATTCTTGATGGAAATCAAAAGATCGGTTGTTTGGTTGCTTGAAGTTTGGGCGTTAAAATCGGAACGGAGGCGGCCAGCCACTGTTCTAGAATCCGCAGTCTGTTAAGCGTAGAATCAAATTTCGTCCTGTGCTTTGATAAGCACTGTGTCCTGTTCTTCCCTATTGATATGATTATGAAACTGATTTTGATCATCCTCTGCTAAAACTCGATGCAGGTTGTGAGATAAAAGTATTCTTTTGCTACTAAACACCTTAAATCTTCTGGGGAGGTTTGAAGCTTCTATATTAGACATTGAACACAGCAAATATGAAGAGCGATTGGTTATCTTTCATGGGTTCTGATGGAGTTCATCCTGACATCTTTTCATTGGAGCCGTTTGTATTTCATAACCTTGGGTCTAATTTATTTTCACAGCTACATTCATTTGCGGACAATTCTATTTATCAGTCGAGAAACTTATACGCTCCTGGAAGTTTAGCTCTTCAAGAGGCATTTAACCGCATATCAGGACTTGCCGGTGCTTTTGTAGTTTGGTTCTGTAGTGGAACCTACTCAAAGATAGCTCAGGATATAGCAGGCTCTCAATTTAGAAGTTCCGGGGCTTCTATGCAAGTTAAGCCTATATCTTCTGTTAGACATAATCTAGCTGGGTTTCACTTCAGTTTTAGATCAGAAAGAAAATCCGTTGGCCCCGTGGCTTTAGCCAAGATTTCTAGTTCCGCAATGAGGCTACTTTGGAGAGAAGTGAAAAGGCTTCAATCATACCCTGTGCTTTCTCTAGCTGCAGCATTGGTACCGCCAATTCAAAACTTGTAAGTCACACTAGAGGGTGTTTACTCAATTTGAATCATTTTAGGCGTGGCAAAATTTTCCCCTTGTGTCACGACCCTGAGCTGGTTTCGATGTTATTGACCCCAGATCATCAACTGTGCTGACTGGTCCACTTGAGAATACTGAAGTGCCAATGCATGGAGGCAAGGACCAAATCCCTTGTGAGGTTAAGAAAAAGGGATGTGCTCAACTATCTTTTCCTGAATTGAGCCTGACGAAGCATGTGGCTGAGCCTAAAACTGGCATTGAGTTTCCTGTAATTTTGAACAATGTAGTTGATGGAGAGCCGGAGTTAAACTCTGAGGTCATATTCAATTTTCAAATTTTTCTGGGTTTTTGGCCTCTTTCTTATCAATGGGATTAATTTGTGCCTTTATGCATTTGCATGTGAAAAACTAATTCATCTGACTGTTGATATATTGATTGCTTGGAAAAATACACAGCTAGTAAGTAAGCCAAAAAATGTATGCTTGATTGAAAGTTAGGAAGGTAGTGAAAAACGATGTGCAGTATAGGATACCATTTGTCTCGTAATCTTTAGTTTTTTCCTCTGTTCCTGCCATTATGTCTGGTAATCGTGCAATATGAGCTGTGTGATGGGTTAGACCGTGACTGGTTTTATTCTCTAACTTTCTTATGGAGGTCCATTTTATATTTTTATTGTTCCTTAATCTTTCCTACAAGGAGTGCTTGAGCGTTCATTTGCTTCACATGAACTAACATAAGCTATTAAATTTGCTTCAGGTTTTGGTTGGAACTGGGTCCAGAACCATGACAATAGTTAAAATCAAGTCTTTAAAGATCTATGCATTTGGTTTTTGTAAGTTTTCTTGAATATTTGATGCTGATTGTTATAGAGTAATGCCAGCAAAATTATCCCCGTATATTTAGCCACTCTCAATCTTTAACAGATGTTCATCCTTACTCCCTCTGTGAGAAATTGGGTCCAAAATATGCATCATTTTCCGCTGGTGAGCTGAATAACTCCCATGATTTCTACAAGGATCTTCTTAGGTATTGAAAATAATTTCTGCTGTCTGGATATAAAATTTTATCAATTGAGAAGGTTCCCTTTTTTATGGTGATTGTAATTGACCACCGTGAAGTGCAAAGGGACATTTTATAGAGCAATCGTGAGTTATCCAACTGTCCAAAACTGTGAATTTAGCTTGAATAGGATATGCTCATGAGTTGAAAGCTGGTTGATTGATTTCGTGATTAAGATGCTGACTTTGCTGCGCATGTTGGGTTGTTTTATCACAGGGAGGATATTGAAATGACTGTGAGGCTTGTCGTGAATTGCAAGGGGATGAAAATCAACACCGTCAAAGAGTTAGTAACTTTTGTTTTACTTCTCAGTTAAGGAAATTGTTTCATAGGAAAAACAGAAATTCTTGGTTGATTTTGAAATCTGTTCAGTTAATTAGATTTGGTTGAGTTATGTTGTTGCAGGAATGACACTTTCAAATTATTTTGCAGTATTTTTAAATTTTCTGTTTTTAGATTCTTGATTAATGAATATAGTCAACAATTAACTTTTCTCCTCCGAAATATCTGAACTTTGATGTTTGAATGTAATCTTGTTGTTATTGAATCAACTACATCAATTTATGCAATTTTACATAAATGAAAACCTAGATGAGGGTGAATCAAGCAGGTCCTCTCTCTTTTGATGCAACCTCGAGTATTTAAAGGTCTTAGACATAGAGTTGACGATGAAAGTGACAAACTGCTAACCTTTTTTCGTGCACTTTTGCAGTGCTTTTGAGAAATCACTTCGAGCTCGCCTAGTTAAGGTACTTCACTGCTACTGGTAAAATAAATTTTGTTATTTCTGCACTGGACTGATTCTAACTGTTCCTTTGGCTTCTTCTTTGCCCAGACAAATCCAACGACAGATTTTTGTTGCCTGAGAAAATTTGGCTCTTACTTCACCCAGGATATTCCATTACCCTTGGTAAGCCGTATACCAATCTGTATTCTTCTCTATTTTTGAGGATGGCTTAGGGTTACTTATGCTTTATTGCAATGTTTCAGGGGACAACAATCAATTTTCGACAAACAGCTGATGGATGCCTGGTTACTGAAAGTGAGTATGAGTACTAGTTGATCGAATTTATGAATTCGTTGACTCTAGATTTATACCATAATCACAGGTCTTTGGTTCATCTTGAGAAAAAATAGCATAACAAAATTTTTGTTCATCTTTCCATAATGTTTATAGGCAGTTCTAAGGTTTATCTTGAGAAAAAATAGCATAACAAAATTTTAGTTCATCTTTCCATATTGTTTATAGGCAGTTCTAGGTTAAATTTATTGGATTGCCACGGGCAACTTAAATTGTTGACTTTTCACCACTAAAAGTTGTTTTATCTGTGCAGTTGGTGGGAATCATGTTGGAAGTGTCCCTAGCAAAGATTTATGTCGTAAGTGATGTTCAGATTTCGGGTTCAAATCTAAGAACATGTGCCTAATATAACATTCATTTGTCAAGTACTAAACCAAACTAAGTTTTTAGCATATTTTAAACTTGCAGGGGCTTTCTTTGGCATGTACCTTGGGGATGAACCTGTATCTGAGCAAACAAAGGAGGAGATTGGCAAGAACGTTGTTAATATCATTAGAAGGTGTTGAAACGGCTTCATTTTGGACATCCAATTGTCTTGCTTTTTGGAATGGACAATTGGCAACCGGTGGCATATAATATAGCTTCTGGTTGATAACTTGAGCAGTGGCTATACGAAAATAGAATTATGTCTGCCTTTAGATCATCATTTGGGGTCTACTCACTGTACAGTCCGGGCTTATACTTTTCGAGCTTTTCCCCTTCCTTAAAATCCAGCAGGATAGCTCAGATTTGATTGTCACTCAGCTATTCTCTTTTTTAGCTCAGTTGAGGATAAGCATAGCATTATTTCCCCACCCAGATTCTAAATGTATAATAATTTTATTGAATAGAAGGGGGATAGTGAATAACTAGCATCCTTCGTGGTGCTTAGCCGAAAGCAATAGGGCAAAGTGACGGGAGATTCTTAACCTCTGATGGGACCCAGTTCATTGACTCTGATATGCAAAACGCATCTATTTTATTGATTCATGTGTAGGTCTAGTCCCGCCTCCATAGACATGGGGGGGCTTAGCTGCAAGCAAAGGAGTTCGCGGGAAGCTAACTCTCTCAATATAATGGGAAGAAAATGAAGGATTAGAAAAGTAGTTAAGAACGGACCATTTGAGTGCCCCAAGTCTTTCAGCGATATAAGATGAGACCCCCCTTAAGAAAATGTTTGAAAAAACTTCGATGAAGTTTAAGTCATTTATGTTGGCTAGAAACAGAGAGATCCGTTTTAAAAAGGACGAGCAGCCGGGGATGCAAAGTCGTTAGTGCAAATGAAAGTATGACGTAACCATGTATGAGATTGGAATAGACACTAGACAGGAGGCTGGAACCTGAACAACTGAACTTAGTGACCAATTTACTAGTAGGTCTGATTAGAACAGCGTATAAATAGTTTTTTAATTATGATTTACAGAATAAGAGATAAGTATATGAAATGAGTTTTGTTTTGGTTTATGTAAAATATATTTATAAGTGATTTTTACTGCTATCCCAAACAAGTCTTGAGTAGCTTGAATGGCTTGATAAGCAGAAACCTAGGTCTGCTCTCGACTTGGGGTCGTGTGGAACTGTAGAAGTCATGTACTATTGCGGCCCAACATTCCAACATTATCTGGAGCACTGTTTGATACCTGGCGCGGTCATTATTATATTGTTTGATCTTCAGATGGCACAGTTGCGACGAAAGGCCAACGTCGGGACTCCCCTGGGCTTGAAATCGAAATATTAAAATCTGATTAGTGTTGGGGAGTGAGATGATAATTGGGGGGAGGGGGTCGAGTAATAATGTGAATAAATTAATGAGTTGAAGGATACATATTCCTAACGTGATGGGCATAACAAGTATTGGGTTTAAACAAAGTAGCCATGTTACCTGGTGGGGGAATTGGACACCAAACTCCATGAAGATATCGAAACTGATTGATTTATTTGGGGAAAGGATTAGCAGGCAGTTAGCACAGAGCAGAACAGAAGGTGAGGGCTGAAGACTCCGCACCACGTGATGGATAAGACTTGCATTGCCTTCTCCTCAGACTGCTCCTCCCACGTGGCCCTATCACCTCTTGGCCCCGCCTCTACCTCCTTTAGATTTCTTATTTATTTAAAATTAAATTAATTTTATATTAATAATTAGAAGTAGTATGATATAATTTCTTGAAAGAGACAAAGTTTACCAGCTCTGTTACAGAATTTAATATTTTTACTCCGCACACACCAAAAATAAATAGTATGTATAAGGGAAATGAATTGTATGAACGAAATAGAAGAACGTATGTTGGTGTCCCCCACTCTCTTCCGTACACAGCCCTCACCACCTGATCCTTTCTCTCCCCATTCCCTCATTTTGCCATTCTTCCTTCCGCCCCCACACTTTATCATTCTGTCTTTGACACCTGGCATTTCACCTCCCTCCTCCTGCTTCCGGATAAGCATTAACCACTTCCCTCTCTCCCCTTCTTCCTTACTTCATCTCTTCCCTCCCTCCTCCCATTTTCCCCTTCATTTTCCGCCATTGATCTTTTCGTATGTCGCTTTCATTACTCTCTACATAATTTATAAATAAAACCACCCTGTCTCTCTTATCCCCTCCGCCTTTTTCCTGCTGCTTTGCTCACTCTCTCTCTCTCCTCCTCTCCTCCTACTCCGCTTTTCAGTACTCTTCTTATTTTTACACTTCCCCCCCATCTCATCCGTGGCGGCTTTTCCTGCTCGGCAGATTTTCTCCACCCATTCCCTCTGCTTACTTTCTTCTATTTCCCTTCTTGCATGTGGCCATTCTTGTCGAGGGGGTCAATACTCTGTTTACGTTGAACTTGTCGATATGAGGGTTGAATCTTCTCGGTTGACGCGCGCCGTGACATGCGCGTCCGCCTTCTTCGATTCCTCCGAAGACCGAAAGCCGAACGCTAGAAGCGGTGGAGATCGCCCTCTTCCGGCGGAGGATGCTGATGATAAATGTAGTCCGTCGTCTTCTTCAACGTCCTCCATCGGCAGGAACAGCGATCTGTCCTCGGAGAGGTCAATGGGGGGCGAGGATCACGGCGAAAATGAGGCCCAGAGTCTGTACAATGGTACTTTGGACATGATGCAGTCTTTAGAAGAAGTTTTGCCCGTCAGGTACTGCTAGTTTTTCGTGCATAAGAATTTTCTTTTTGAAGAAACGGATGATGACATTATGCTCGACAACAACTTCATGTGCTTAGTGGACTGGAGAGCGACTAGACATTGTTGTGATTCTTTTTTTTTTTTGGAGGGGGGGTAAGTAAATTTGATCATGTTTGTCGTCTTCTATAGGGGGATCTTTATGAGAAGTCAATCCAGGGGGAACAAGAATGATGGTAAAGTCTCTGTACGAGGCACATAAATATGCGTAATGCTGGCCATCTATGTTGAAATGATGCATTCCTGTAGTGCACTTACCCAAGTAGGATGGCGAATCTGCTCATAAATTTGTTATTTTTTCGCCCCCCGTTTTCCCATCCTGCCTCATCGTCGAATCCCTGTTCTTCAGTGGTTCTGTGTCTTTGAGAATTAAATCTGTTGTAGTAAAACGATCGTGTGATTTGAGCTCAGCATCTTCTTCATATTCTAATTTGCTGCTAATCCTATGGGTGAAATAATCCCTATGCAGTAGAGGAATCTCAAAGTTCTATGACGGCAAATCCAAGTCCTTCACGAACCTGGCAGATGCTTCCTCTTCACCGTCCGTAAAAGACTTGGTAAAACCAGACAATGCCTACAACAGGAAACGGAGAAACTTGATGGCCTTCAATCATATCTGGAACAAGAATCGAAGCTTCACTTTAAAAAGCAACAATGGTGGAATTTCAAAGAAACCGATATTGAGCTCTAGTCGAAGCGCACTGGCCGTAGCAGTTGCCATGAACAGCTCTGATAGCAGCAGCAGTATCACGAGTGAGGACTCAAATTCCATGTCACCTCCTCCATTGCTTCCACCATTACATCGTCGAGTCAGTGCGTCTTCTATTACCAGTGGTGGCCCATCCTCTACATTTGCCCACAGTTTCTCTGCTTGGCGATCCTTCTCCTTGGCTGATCTGCAGCACTGTGCCACTACTGCAACTATGAAGATGCCGGGCTCCTCTTCCCTTAGAAGTGAAACAGCTCTTAGTAAACTAACTTGACAAGCCAGACTGTTGTTGTACGGATGAGCATACACGTAGCCTCTAGGGCAAGTTGTTTGTGGTTCTAGGCAAGGTTGTGGAGGAATTTTAGAGATCTCTTTTCATCTGATCTGTTTGATCTAGAGTACGAATTAACCAAGCCGGCGGATCGCCCACTAAGCGCTAACCCATTCCTCTGCGCTATAATTAAGTATTGTAATCCTATTTATAAGTTTTTGCAAATTAAGTGTTTCGCTGTTTATTAGAGCATGGAAATGGAATGCCTTGAGATTTGTAACCAAGGACCATTTTCAGCGAATGAAATGTTTCCATTTATGAGCCAAATCATAACATAAAAATCCTAATAGCGAGTATTCTGCATAATATACCAAACCGGTGTCCAGCCTATGTATTATTAATTAATCTGTCTTCAAGGCGAAGGCTGAACTAATAATATAAGTAATTAAAGGAGAGATTACAGATTGAATGAAGAGAGTCTGTCGGCTCTGACAGGGATTTACCATTTGCTGCAGCCAAGGGAAGGTTGAGCGGCTCGTCTTCATGGGGGATTGTTCAGAAAGTACAGACTTCTGATTCGTTACTGTCTTCCTATTTGGGGATAGACAGGAACAGACGAACAGGATATCCCAATAGCGTTGCCTGCCCATGGTGAATCAGACAATGAGATATTGCTTGAAGAAGTGAACAAAAGGCGAAATAAGGCGTAATAGGACAATCTCGACAGGGCTCAAGGACCAAACGTGCTTCCCACCACTGTGAAACGGGAAAGAGGGCTATCAGTATCAAGTACTGAACTTCTTTCGGCCTGGGCCTATTGAGTGTTAATTATTCCTCCATTCACGCAACATCACTCGATTCCCACCCCCACCCCCAATTGTTGTTTAGGTTCTCTGGTAGTTCCTTGCATATATTCAAGTTTTTGTGACTAACGATTAATCTTTGGAAGAGAATATTTACAGTTGTGCTCGATTTTTATGGAGAAAAAGTTTCCACTTAAATTTTGTATCTACAATTCTACTATTGAAGAATCATATGCTGGTCAAAAAAAAAAATTGAAGGATCATATCATAAACTTGTCATGTTTAATTAGAAACAACTAACAAGGATATAAAAAGCTTTGTAAAGGTCATATCCACCAATGAAACCAGCAATAAGTTACTTTTTTTGTTTAATGAAATAGAAGAAGAAACTATCAAGTTTTCTTGGACAGGATAACAATCCTTCAGAGCCCAAAGCCCAATTCAGTAAGGCCCAATTTCTTACTTGCGGGAGATTTATTTGATGCCTTTTAGAAGTCCCGGAAAAGAAAAAAAGGACTACCAAAGTGAAATTCGTTTTCTTTCCCTAATCCATTGAACAGTGTGATTTTGGCAACCAAGTGATATTAAAACTTGCCTGGATCAACGGGGCTTAGTCTAGTGAAAGAAGTTAGTTCCTCACAACATGATAAACCACGGATCAAATTCCTATTGAGAGAGATACCTACATTTAGTACCACTGCCTCGAATAAGATTGCCGAGGATACCTATACTTTAGGCCAAAAAAAAATTTTGCCTGGCTAATTTGTTGCTGTAAATGAAAAGAATGCGATGAAGATGTAAAAAGAGTAAATGATTTATTTAGATAATTTGCACACCGAAGATATGAATATCGCAGCCTAGCTATAGAACGTGCCAAGTTCTTACTCACTCAACAATTGCTTTAATTTATTATTTGTATTTGCTCTTAGAATCTTTTGTCTTGTGTATTTACAAATTTTCAACTCCTTTCTATAACACATGTATGACTGATCAAGTTCAAGAGGTTAAGTTAACTTATATTATGGGGGGAAATTATTCTAATATTCTCTTCTTTCGCAAACATAATTCTAATATCCTCTCTTAATAATCCCACTTATTTCCTCCTATTGAAGTCCATAATATTGGATTTTGTTGTGAAATTTAACTCATTTATCATGAAATAATTCTCTTAAGATCAAATAGAAATCACCAAATAATTATACCTCAGACTGAGAGTTAGAATAAGGATTATTTCGACAACTTTTTATAAATTAAGAACTAAGCAAAGACAGAAAAGGGCAAAATTTAATACGTATAAAACATGGCTTCCCTCAGTCACCTGAAAAGGGAAAGAAAGAAAGCTTCCCTTCCCTCAATATTCTCTAAAGAAGACACATCATGAATCTTGATGGCATTTAAAAAAGGGGAAAATAAAGGGCAGCGAATCTTATTCAAGCGATAATTCGGACTCCAAAGTGAGATGGCTGCTAAATGAGTAGCATCCCATGTCTGCTTTACTTCCTCTATGATGCGCTTCTTCTTCTTCTTTTTTTTCCCTAGAGTATCCTTTCACTTGAACGGTAAAAGACTAATCTTCTCGGTATTGTTAAGCGCTTGAACGAGAACGTCTCCCAACAATCTTTGTTCCATACACATTGCTCTAAAAATCAAACTCAAAACATGATATTTAAAATGTCCCAAGTTCTTTTTACTTAGACTAACAGGCATTATGATGCACTTCTGAACTTTCTGAAATTTGCTTACTACGTGTCCATCTATCGAGCTCCACTGTTTAGCTCAGGCCCAAGCCAAAAAGGGCAAAAAATTAAAAAAAAACTGGTCCCAATAATTAACGGAATCTGTCACGCCCGTTTATATCCGGATCGTTCCGTCGTCTTCTTCTTCAAACCCAAACTCCATTTTTTCCGTGGGTAAAACCGTTCAGTGTTGTTTTAGAAACGCACAGCTTTTTCAAACTATTCAGAAGTCGATGGCCATGGGTGACGACGCAAGTTCCCGGAGAAAAAATAAAAAGAAACGTAGGAAAAAATATACCAAGGACAAAGCATGTCGCAGAGAGAGTCCTCGAAAGCTTAGAAGGCAGTGACAAACTGACAATTGGGAACTTCAACCCTAAAAATAACCAAGTGTATTTATACAGAAATTTCTGGACACCTACAGATATTTCATAAAAGAACAGAATTAAGATTCCATACTAGACATTCAAAGCGGTTAAATTTGACATTTCAATAGCAAGACCCGGAGATTAATGGCCCACTTTAAATTCAGTACAGTAGGAGTGCAGTGACCCTTAATTTCATGATCAATCTTTATGGTACTTTCGCAGCGAAAGGCTTTCATCAAGCACTAAAAGCAGCAATGGTTAATACACTGGCGAATACTGCCACCATCCAGCTAAGAATCGCTCCATCATTGATGTTCACACATCACGCACTGCTTCTTGCCTACTGCTATCAGACCCCCTCGTTACCCCACCACCTACCCCACCGCCCTGTCCTCACCTCCGTGACAGTGGACCCATTTGCACACAGACATGTCAAATTTAATAACACAACACCAGCAATTATCAAAATACAACGAAATATATTGGGGTTAACGCGTCTTTCACATCCTACTGAGGTCTTCATACATGCTTCCTCTGTTCATACCTAGTTAATAACTGACACTGGAATTCCTATATTTACATTTTCATTTACTTGTCCCCACCATTTGTTTCTGTTTCCTTTTTCTTCTGCTATAGTACTCTCATGGTTTATATGGCCTTTTTGGGATCCTCATCTAACCTCATTCACTGTTCTGAGAAATTACCTCCCCAAATTTGAGGAAGAGCTGGGCATCAGAGGTGCTCATGGACGGGCAGTTCACCAAGTGTGGAGCCTTCAGATTTGCATACTCATCCATATAGCAAGATGGCACCTTCGCAGATGGAAGCAGAGCAGAGGCTGCAGGAGGTGGGGCTGCTTGTTTCGGTGGGGAGGTGGGTGGTACAAGGCTTCCCAGCACGCGCGTCACCTCGTGCATTGTCGGCCTATCAACCGGCTGTCTCTTTGTGCACAAAAGGGCTAGCTGAAATACCTTCTTTACTGCTCCCAGGTCCTTACATGAGGCAGTAATATCAGGAGCAACCGTCTCCATCACAGCATTGTTTGCCGTCTTTGACAAAATCTGGACACAACGATATCCAGTTGGTCAAAACAGACATGAAAGATTAGTAAATGTTAAAATAGCAGAGCACTAACCAGGTGATGGAGATTGGATTCATTGTCCACAGCTTTCCTGCCAGTAAGCAACTCAAGCAAAACAATGCCAAAACTATAAACATCAGACTTCTCAGTGAGACGTGAAGTTCGAGCATATTCAGGGTCTATATAACCGATTGTGCCCATTATGTAAGTCGAAGTGTAGGACTTGGAGGGGCATAGACTTTTAGCAATGCCAAAGTCAGTGAGATGGGCCTCGAAGTCCTTGTCCAACAGAATATTAGATGATTTCACATCCCTGTGAATGATCCGGGGGCAACAATCATGGTGTAGATAAGCAAGTCCTTGCGCTGCTCCTAGTGCTATTTTCAAACGAAGGTCCCAGTCAAGCTTTTTCTTTTTAGAAGCTCCTGGGAAGACAGCACACAAGAAAGTCTTTACTTGCCCACCAAATTTTGCAGTTGCCTTGATAATTGAAAAGGAAAGGGATTTAACTTACCATGGAGAAGGTCCCATAGACTGCCATTTTCCATGTAGTCATAGAAGAGAAGGTTCCCATAAGGGGACAAGGAGTAGCCTTGGAGACTAACCAGGTTTCGGTGCTTGATGCTACCAACCGTCCCAAGTTCTGTCTCAAATTCTTTCAAGCTTTGGGGATAGTGAGTATAGAGCCTCTTGATAGCCACTGGCTTGCAGTTCTTAAGGACGCATTTATATACTGTGCTTGATGCACCGTATCCAATGATGTACTTCTCACTCAGATTTTCAGTCATCCTCATAATATCCTCATAAACGTGAAGGGCCATATTCATATGAAGAATCACTAGCTTTGGTGGCGAATAATTAACTGCCATTTTCCAGGCACAAGTTTAACCCTCGTTGGCGTCATTTTCAATAGACAGGATAATAATATTAATTTTAAACACTAATGAACTGGACAAAATCATATGACGACATAAATAGCCATAGTGTAAAATCCATTCTTTTCCTCCACCGTCGGCTTAAAACTAAGAAAAGACCTTCACAATGAACATCTATTTAATTTGAACTGACCAACCCCCTTTTACCACCTAAACTCGTACTGTGGACTGTAAAAGAATTTTAAAAGCAGTGATGGGTTTGGTTATATGATGAAAACAATCCAGACATTTAAGGTAACTTCATAGCACTCAATATATAAAGATAAAAATACCTGGCTTGTCAAGTGATCCATCTGGAAATGGGGATGGATTGTATGGCCGACATGCTGCTAGTAATATCATAAGAAGAATCACAAGGGCACCAAGAGCAATTCCTAGGATGGCTGCCTTAGATAACGTAACTGCATGGACAATAGCATATAGCAGTTCAATTTGCATCTTGTCACAGAAAACCCTTAGTCCAACTTCATAAAAAAGAATGCCTGGGAAGATGTTATCTTGAACCAAGCTATACATTCAGATGTCAACAAAAGGAACCCATAAAATTGAATGGCTGAAGATGGCATGAATGATTTATTTGCACAACATCCGAAAGACACTAATCTGACTTCAAATGTTTTGCCAAGCATCGTAATTGATAAGAAGGCATAAGTTTCGGGAAAAGGTGGAGAAATTCTGAGCTATCACTATACCAAAAACGAAGGAAGGATCGTGAGAGCAGGAAATAAAAAAGAAAATTGCTGACCCAGAAGTCTTTACCTCTCTCCGTGGGATGAGATCTATGACAAGATGAAGTCATCCAATAGCCACAGAGACCAGAGTTTCCAATGAAACTGGAAAGAAATTCACAAGAATACGTTGAAGACACCATCTAAACTAAATTATTCAAAAAACAAAAATAAAAGAGACATTTTAACTTTAGATGACCCTAAACCTGTCTGGAGAAAACCTGGAGAATTATTGCTTGTGGGAATTACACCAACTAGGTTGTTATAGGACACATTGCTACATAAGTAAAAATTAATATGAACTTGTTAGGAAAACTGGCATGGCCTTACCGTAGCAAAGTTAGGCTAAATTTTTCAACATACAGAAAAAGGTGAGGTCGAACTTACAGTAAAGAAAGGCTAAGGCAATTTATAAGAGAAGTCACATCCCCGGATAGATTGTTGTTTTCCAGCCTCCTACATGTTTTATACCATGAGATGCAAAAAAAAAAAAAAATTCTAGTTGAATTACCAAAGCAAAAGATATCCCTCTAAAATTAGACTGTCGTGTTTTAATTAAGTACAATCCCTTGGAACCCAAAAAAATGTTGACGATTCACTTATTTTCAACACATGACTAGTCATCTTTTAGAGTAAAAGCCAAATGAAGGCAGTAAATCCACTAGCATAAGATTTGCTTAAGGCAAAAAAGCACTGCCAAATTGCTTTAACAAAAATATATAATTTACAGCACAAAATGGATAAGAATAAACTAGAAGCTCACAGGGATATCATGTTCTGCAGCTGACTAAGTTCTTCAGGAATCAAGCCAAGAGCTGGTTATTTGAAAGATCTCTGGAATACAGAAGGATGAGAGACAGAAAAAACCTAAAGGACTTTAATATACTTCAGAAATATAAATGAACTTACATATCCATAACACTTCTTAAATTACCAAACTCTGCCGGAATAAACCCAGTTAGGTGATTTCTGCTCAGATTCCTAAAAATGAATAATACCTATGAATGAGAACTGAGACAACAACACAGCTGTCAAGAAATAGAAGAACTAGTAGTACAACTCACAGCTTCAGAAGATGTTCCAAATCACCAAGGGAAGAAGGAATGGAGCCACTTATATTATTATTTGAAATATCCCTGGTAGGGAAATATCTATTAGTATGAGCCATGAGGTCAGAGAGAGAAAGTAAAATGTATATTAGATCATTTGTACTTACAATGTATCCAAATTACCAATCCTTGACAGCTCAATTGGAATGGGGCCTCGGAGCTTATTGGAGGAGAGATTCCTAAAGAATGTCATCATGAAGCCAAAGAGGACATCAAATAAAAGAGAAAATCATTGATGGAATTAGATGTGAATGCATATGTTACATAATGTGCTAATAAGAAAGATTGATTAGTTCATGAGTTCAAAGATTTGCAGTGTAGGCATCAATTGGTGATCTAACTGCAGTTTTGTGGGGGTTCTGTTCATCCTTCAGTTAAGTAGATTATAGAAATGTTCAACAAGTTTCCAAGAACATCAGAGAAACTTACAGATACGTCATACTCTCCAAGCTCTGAAAAGTTTGTGGGATTGTTCCATTTAACTTGTTTCCATGCACATTGCTAATGAAAAACAATAGGTAAGTCCATAATCTTAATTTATATAAACAAATCCTATTAACAATTAATAGTATTAGGTTCTTACAGGCTGTTGAGGTTTTCGCATGAGCTAATATTATCAGGAATTGGCCCCTCAAGGTTGTTGTTAGCGACATTTCTATGACAATGATAAATAAACGGTTAGGCTACTAAAAAATCAACAAAAAAGTGACACTTTAAAGTAACAGCACTTAAGACTTACAAATCAAAAAGATCAGTAAGCTTTCCAAGCTCAGGTGGGATATGTCCACTCAAATGGTTATCATTCAATTCCCTGCAATGAAAGGTTAATCATAAGTGACCTCCTCTAGACCTTGTTTCTATCCAATTGAGGGATGGCTCAATGTACGAAAAATCCGCAGAAATGACACGAGGAGATGTACTATTTTTGAAGCCAGATGTTAGAATTTAGAAGTGAATCATAGTTGTGAGATGACAATTTAGTTATTTAACAATACAAGATGGAGGGTACCAAAAAAATGCAATGAATTAAGGAGTCTTGTTTAATTCAAGAATAAGCTCAATTAATGTCAAGAAGGCAACTCATGAATGTTAGCGCAAGATCTCAAATCCAAACTGAGATATTAAGTAACTATTGCCAAACTATTTGATAAGTCTAAAAAACATAAGATGTTTATGATCAACTAAATAATGTGTCCTTACAAATAGTGAAGCTTTGTCATGTTTCCGAGCTCTGGGGGAATGGGGCCAGACAGTTTATTCCCATGCAAATACCTGCAAACATTTCAGAAATTAGATACAAATTTATAGATCGAATCTAATTACTGTAAGCAATTGACAAACTATTAATGCATACTTACAATTTTTCAGTGTATGTCAAATTTCCCAAGATAGGAGGGATTGGTCCACTTAGCTTGTTACAACTCAAATCTCTGGTATTGAATTGAAATTTATGAAAGAATAGTAGCATTAGTAAAGGTATGAGAAAACACCAATTTAGAGCCTCTTAAGTTTGCTTTAACACTGTAGAGCTATTCATTATCCGTGCTTACAAGACAGCAAGTGCTTGCATCAGTCCAATCACCGATGGAATAGGTCCAGAGAGTTTATTGCCTTGCAGTGACCTATCAAATTCAAACAAGACTAAGCAATTCCTAAACATAGCAAGTAGAATAGAACATAAACATTCCGAATGAAAATAACCAAGAATCAACCAACACGTACAATGTTGCTACTTGAAGAAACCCAATATTGAACGGTATCTTTCCAGTCAGCTGGTTGTAGGATAAATCCCTGATATCAATGTGTTAAGATAAGTAAAAGAAAAATAAAGGCTCGGAACACATTGTTATTCAGTTGGATAATATACATACAAGACCTGGAAGGCAGTACAGTTGCCTATACTTTCAGGAATGCCGCCAGTCAAGCTATTGTTCCTCACATCACTAAAAAATGGGAGGTGGAAAATAAGATTCCATTGAGAATTGCAAACTTTTCTCTTTTTGCTCCTTTTTTTTTTTTGGGGCGGGGGGTGTTGGAGGGAAAGAGTGGTTGTATTACTTACAAATACCATAGTCCAGTTAATTGGCACATGTCAGGAGAGAGTGAACCCCCTAAATTGTTCCCTCGCAAGCCACTATATTGAGAAAAGGGACAGAAATACAGATTGATGGTAAGATCTTGTCACTATGACTAGGACACACTTAAATATTAGATAAAATATAAGAAGTTGTAAAAGTGTGGAAGAAAAGAGCATTTAAATTTATTGCATATCAGTTATGGGCTAAAGATTATACTCACAGATATTGCAAGACTTCGTTCCAGTATATAAGCCTTGGTATTTCACCGCTAAGATTATTTTGAGCCAGGTCCCTAGCACCAATTTTTCAGAATTCAAGAATGTTATTTAAAACCAAAGAATTAGACCTTTAGAGTTTTAGGATAATATGAAAACGGAAAAATGACTTACAGAATCTTCAAGTTGGGAATCTGAGACAATGTAGAAGGAATTGGTCCTATTAACTGGTTGTTTTTCAAAATTCTGAAATAACAGAAAAACAACCATTCAGTCGTTACTTCATGAGAGGACCAGCAATCAGAATATTCAATATAAAAGGCAAAGTAACGTACAGATTTTCCAGTTGTTTCAACTTTGAAATTGAAAATGGTATGTCTCCCCGTATATCATTAAATGACAAGTCCCTGAAAAATGAAAGGCATAGTAATATCGCATTCCCAGTAAGACAACCGTCAGTAGATGACAATAAATCCAACTACACATAAGAATTAGACCTTTAGAGTTTTAGGATAATATAAAACGGAAAAATGACTTACAGAATCTTCAAGTTGGGAATCTGAGACAATGTAGAAGGAATTGGTCCTATAACTGGTTTTGTTTTTCAAAATTCTGAAATAACAGAAAAACAACCATTCAGTCGTTACTTCATGAGAGGACCAGCAATCAGAATATTCAATATAAAAGGCAAAGTAACGTACAGATTTTCCGTTGTTTTCAAACTTTGAAATTGAAAATGGTATGTCTCCCCGTATATCATTAAATGACAAGTCCCTGAAAAATGAAAGGCATAGTATAATATCGCATTCCCAGTAAGACAACCGTCAGTAGATGACAATAAATCCAACTACACATTGAATTCAACTTTAAGGGCCTCGACGAGTAAAACTTACAAGCTCTTCAAAGAGGAACAGTCACCAATCTCATCGGGTATCTGGCCAGATAGTCGGTTCCCCCTCAGGTCGCTGTCAAACAAGACATTAAAATCAAAGTTTGTTAGATACAATTTGATAACCACAGCAATTGAAGAATGAAAATAAAGTCTCAAGGAACGATAGTAGATACATAGAGACCAAGTCCTTAAGGCCCCCTATTGCAGGTGAGATTTCACCGTCCAGATTGAAACTTGAGAGGTTTCTGTAATGTGCAAGAGAAACAGAAAAATCTAAATCAGTCTCTTCCGTTCCTATTGACCACGAACAAATTCGTCCACATTTGCAGTCTCATTACTTACAGTGCAACCACATTAAAGGTGACATTATCGCATGTGATCCCCCTCCAGACACAATAATCGGAAGAAGAAGAGTCTGTCCAGTCACATAGAACATTATCCACATCCCTGAACGACTTCTTTATCTCCAATAATGTTGCTCCTTAAATGAAAAAAGTTCACATGTTAAGCTTGATAACAAGGGACCACAATGTTTCTTTTTTCTAAATCTAAATTCCTGACTCCCTGGTGTAAATTCAGCAACTAATCTTTCCTTGACCTTAGCACCCAATTGATCAATGCTAGCTCAATCAATTCAAGCAGAACATTATGACTAAATATGCGAAAAGGCAAGCAGCGAGAAGAACCCCGCATTTTGACGAAATCGGAAAAATTTTTGAAAACTAAGTAAAATCAGCTTTCGCGGGAAGAAGTACTGACTTATAAAAGTAGACCACCAGAAAATAGAGGAACTGCCCTGTTTGGGCAACGAGAAAGCGATTCGGAGACCGAAAAAATTATCTTTACGTTTTTCTCGAGTTTTCCGACTTCCCCAGAAGAAAGAAGAGAGGGAAAAAAAAATGCAAGAGTTTGGCTTGTCAATCATGAGCCTTCGCCTGTCTCAATATTCGTCGGCGCTATAACATCTGAAAACTACGCTTGGGACATTGTTGCTTACTCCCCACCCACCAAATATCCCTCAAAAAACAGAGCGAAGAGTAGCATAGTCCGTGGTATTGAAACCTGGCCGAACATGGACGACTTACCATCGTCTGAATCCACCGAGTTGAAGTTCAAACAAATGAAAAGAGCCAGAAGAACAAGTACCAAACGAAATGCCATAACTGCTCTCTCCGGAGGCTTGTCTTCAGCCAAGCAGACACATTAAAGCCCTCCTTAAACACCACAGAACCCAATGAAGCTATTAAAAAGGAACCAAAAAGCACTGGTCTTGACGAACCGTCTCTCGCCGTACAGTCAAGAAGAACAGACTCTGGACTATATAAGATTATAATTCAGCAGAACTTGGCACCGCTCAAATACTAGAACTGGAAGGAGATAAAAGGCAGATTGAGCTGGGCTTGGAGGATTCCCCTGTGTATTCCACATTTCTTTTTTCTTTTTTTGTGATTAGGTACTTGGGAGTTGGGCTTTTATTTCTGGTTTGACGGAAGTCGCAGTATAACAAGCTGAGCTTTCCTTCTTGTTCTCACATCGGTCTGGCCCACTCGCCTCGAACACAAGTGTAGAGGAGTGTGAGCAGATAGAGAAAGAGGCTGCGAAAATTATTTCATTTCACGCATAAGTTAAATTATCAGCCAGCATTTCTGCCAGCAAACCTGCAACACTACTGCAGCTCTCGTCTCCTTCTCTCTCTTACCCTCAGCTTTCTACTTTTTTTTTTTTTTTTGCAATGCCTCTATCTATCTCTCTCCTACCGATACTATGCCATTGTAAATAAGGGGTCGCTTTCTCTCTGCGTCTCTGGCTTCGCTGGTGAAAGTCTGCAGAGAAAAAGGGTAATAATGTGAGGCATCCATTTAGCTGACAATGACGCGCCCTTCCTCCTTCGCTCTAAACTTGATCTCTAGACATTGAGCTATTGTTATTTTTTATTACTTTTCTTTCCTCTCTTTAATATTGGTTACTGTTATGGCGTCCCCAGTCTGCCCTCTCATCATTCCATTCATTTATCGCTTTCTAGTTTTGCTCTCTCCTTTTCCAGTTATAGATAGATGCTCTGTGATAGGGGAGTTGCTCGGTGATTTTCACCCATTACAAATTAGGAATCAGATTAATCAATGCATGCTTCAATCCTGACCTGAATCATCAATCTCCCAATGCTTGCTAAGTAAAAATAGTAACACCTTTTTAATGAATTGGATTGATCGATTACTTGTGAAAATATCAATCAATTGCTAGTTAGAAATATCAATTTTCCTCACAGTATTAGAAGAGTTGGAAGTGATGTTTGGGAGTGAGACAGAAGATGTGCATGAAGGTAGGGGCCCAGGAGGGGCGTCTCAGGTATTGTCACTTAGATAAAATTACATAAAGACCCAAAGTGTTGCATTCACAATAAAATCAAATAAATTTTTCTTTATTTAATGGGTAAACATGCTGGGTGAGTTTGAAGAGATTTGAGACAATTTAAAATAGGTAAAATGTAATTTTGAGAAAGAGTTGGGTCTAAGATGTAATAATGGGCGTGGGATTTAAATTTACCATCGTTTGATTCACCTCGGGAAAGGTGAATGGGCTCGCATCCCCTATGGGTCTGACATCGCTTGCTCATCATGATTCCCGCGCGGGCCCCATCTAAAGCCTCATCAGTCATCAACCGGTCACGCCGTTAACGTTATCGCCCGTGTCGTTTTCCCCCTCTGCAGTAAGTATTTAAGGGACTTTTAATTCATTTTAAATATAAGCATTCACTTTATTTTATTTATTTTTATAATAGTTGTACTTTTTTTTTTTACCCGCTAATAGTTGTAGCTTTAAATATTTTGAAAATGATAATTTTAACTATAATTTGATTAGTAAAACTATTTAAAAAGAAATAATACTTATTTATTTTAAATAAGTATTGAAAAAAGAAATTAATTTAAGATAACCGCTTTTTCAGGGGGCCTGTCGTTGGCCACTTGTGTTAGTTACGGAGGCGTTTTTATATATGCAAATAACTAACTAACTTAAGACGCATCTTAATCTGCGAGGTACTGTTCCCCCATTAAGGCATGTTTGCTTATTTAGGAACAGCGCCTTCCTTTCCTACATTCTTATTATTGGGATCATCATTGTATTACCCCTCTTTCTCTCTTTATTGGCTCCCTTATATATTATATGTAATATACGTGTGCGGACAAAATGTAACCCTGCTTTATTCATTATGATATACGAGTAAGTTGCCATATTATTATTATATTAAATGCTTCTTTCAGCAGCACATGTAAATAATAATATATTATAAATCTTAATATTGGCCATATTAAGAAGATATACTTGTTTTGTGTATGAAATATATTTGGCTCAGTTGATTTGACTGGAAAAATTGTCAATTCTCTGTCCATTAATTTCTCATTTGACTGAAATGACCAGAATGGGCAAAATTCCGATTATACTATCATGATTTTTTTTTTTCCCAGCATTTGCTTTGAATCATATCCCAACACTCAATACAGTTAATGGCCAGAATCTCTAATGGTTAATTTGTCTAAAAGTTGAGTGGTCCATTTCCACCTGTTAAGATAAAGCTATGGTTATTGATTCTATTTGCTTGCTGGCTTGCTGCTTTGAATTCTTTATTATCCTTTTTATTATATATATATTTTTTAAAAAAAGGTTTGCAGTCTCCCCCATCAATTAGTCATTCCAATTTTAGAAGTTCGTTAGCATATTTCTAAAAAAAATTCTTGAAACGACAACTAAAGCATGAAATTAAATAGTATTTTTTTAATCAAAAAAATTAAGTGGGTTAAAATATAAGGGAATGGAATAGGAAGGAGGACAGAAGATAATAGAGATAGAGAGAGAGAGTAGGGTGTTTGGCAGGACTTTAATTTCAAAACAGAGTGGGGGGAAGAAGAGTGTGGCCCAACATTCACACTGCAAAGCGTTTTGTGCATCAAGCCTCCCTCAACAATATTTGCCCATAATCACGTGCCCATTTAATGTCCCGATTAAAGCTCCCCCTCGGGCCCCACTCTTCCCCGATTTCATTTGCCCCCCTCTCTCTCTCCCCGAACGCATCATCCATTCCAGGCTGCAGATCAATTTCAATAATTGGGATTTCCGTCTGTGGAAGCAGAACCAATCCTGAAAGAATCCCCAAAATAATATCCCACTTTCGAGTTTGTACTCCATTCATCATTTGTATGATCATTCTTTTTAACTGGCTCAGATTTATTATTGTATATTACTCCCTTCCGTTCCTTATTATAAGAGACATTTGATGCCTATACATGTTCCTATATATAAGAGACACTTAAAAGTTGTCTCTATTTTTTTTGTATTGATTTTCTATTTACCCAACCTTTTATTTGTTTCAGAACTTTCCTATCTAACTCCTCCTCTCTCCTCCCACTTCTCTTTCTTTTATAATTTAATTGTTTCCTCTCATACTCTCTCTCTCTCTCCTTATTATGGGGGCATTGTTGGAAAAATATTATACTTTTTACACATTAATTGTTCTCACTAATTTTAACTGTTTTTTTTTATCAACGTATTTGATTATTTGTCTCTTATAATAAGAACGGAGGAGGAGTATTAAAACAACCATTCCACTGCACAAGATGCCCTTTTTTTTTTTTTAATGTATATATTTATAATTTCTTTCTTTTTCTTTTTGCCTTTTGTCTCCTTTTTTTTTTGTTTGGGGAAATGCTCCTGCTTTGATAATTGATGGTGGGAAGCCTTTTTTTTTTTTTTTTGGCATTGCCAATGCCATCTCAGGCATGATAAATGAGACACATGTTGATTCTCTGAGGATTATTATTTGGGTAAAAGCTCATAATTGACTGTATACGGAGCTCCTTGATCATAACCAACCATTTCTTAAGCGATCCTGATCTTGCGGCCTGCGTCATCTGACAAAAATCTCATAAATACGACGGCTTAATGAATATGATAATTTTTAAAATATATTTTTAAATCAAAAGTAACAAAAACTAATATGAAATTTATACCTCGCATTTATATTTGCAATATTTCACCTCTCCATATTTTCTATACATTTGAATATTTCCAACTGTACTTTCCTTCAACCCTGTTACTCTTCTTGGTGGCCTTTTTCCACCTTAAACCCTAAAATTGGTTTTCTGAACGATCCTGGCGCTTTTCACGGTGCACACTCTCAGCCACAACTCAAGATTCATCTTGGTTTCTAATATCTCATTTATTCTTTTTATTACGCTAGTTAACAGGATCACTAAATTATTCAGTTGGCGTTTCTTTATCTTCCAATTACATTATTTTCGATGCAAACAGCGTATATGATTCCGCTTTTGATCATCATTCAAAATAACTTGATAAGCATATACTTTTCCGGTTCTTAATATAAGACCCATTTAACTAATTTGATTAGATTAAGAAAGTTAGGTAAGTTAGTTAATTATAAAAAAATGACACATTTTTTCCTAAAACACCATAATTATCTTTCTTAATACCCCATCTCTCTTTTCTACTTGATTATAGTTGAGGGAATATCCATAGGGATAATTTAAAGAAAATTGATAAATATAAAAAATGAGTCTTATATTTAGGACCAAAACCAACTCAAGAATTGAATCCTATATTAAGGACCGGAGGAGTAGTTTGTTTCTTGGTTGAACTTGAGCATTAATAAATAACAATAGCATATTTTCAAATTAGACACCAACGTTCCATCAAAAAGAAACCAACGCATGTTGTGCCCTTTTTCGTCATTATTCATTTTTTTTTAAAGTCATTATTCCATAAACAGCGTGATAAACAAAATCCAGTTGGTAAAAAGGACAAACAAAAGACAGGGAAACCACCACATGCTGCAGCAATTTCTCCAAAGAATAAGTTAACAGTTATATTTTTCCTCCCGGTTTCTATACAAGAAGAAGCAATTTGATGAAAGCTGGTACAATCTACACGTTAGTAACCACATCCACATGCAGGAAGACGAAGAGCTTTGATGGTTGTGGTTCTCTGATAATCTGATATAATGCCGAACTTAATCGCCAAAGACGCATCTCCTTACGATTATACACGTATAAGTGTATGAATGGATAGATCTCTTTAAAAAAGTGATTGGAGCCAGCCCCTATTGCTTGTTTTTGAACTCATGAAGCTGTAGAAGCAGTGAGTTGCCAACCACGAAAATGGAGCTTAAAGCCATCATTCCCCCTGCCATATAAAAAATAAGGGTGATAAACAGAACCAATCTTTGGAAACAAAATTGTCGATGCAACAAATTTGTATATCAGAAGAAGTACAAGAGCTGTATTTGTTTGGTTATCATATGAATAAGTTTGGATACTCTGCAGTCCAAAGACCACAATAAAACGACGAAACACTTAAGAAAGACGGAAAGAAAAAGAGAAGAAAGTAAACTGTCAAAATTGCGAACACTCTCTCTCTAATTGTACTATCAATAATGGAATCTTTCTCACCTGAAAGTGAAGGTGTCATAGCAAAATCAAATTGGGGAAGTAAAGCACCAGCAGCAATGGGGATGGCAACAACATTATAAGCGACTGCCCATGACAAATTCTGGTACACTTTTGCCATGGTTGCCTGTGCGAGTTCTAGGGCATCTACAACCTACCAGATTGAAAACGTTGAATATATGAGTTGGAGAGTAATAAGGATGCCTTCAAAAGATAATGAACATGCATCCCGCTAAAGAATCTCCCACGCCTTGGTGATCATTAGTAAAGAAGTCAATTTCAACTTTTAGAAAAGGCCAGTACCATCACAAAGTTTATGTCTAAAATCA